GTTTTTAATAGAATTATAAACTCTCCCATCGACATTGTTAAGTAACAGTTAATACAAAAGTAAGTCTCTATCAACAAAATCAAACCACTTTCTTAAGTCTATAAAAGCAGTGAATGTGTTTTTGATGTTACGTATAATGCTATTTAGTGTAAAAATATGATCTCCACAAGACCTGCCTTTTCGGAATCCATTCTGTTCATCGGCCATAAGATTGTTTGATTCCATGTATCCAGAAACACGTTTGTTAATAAACGCTGTATATAATTTGTTAACGCAAGACAGTAGACTGATTCCTCTATAATGTAAGGGTATTTGGATCCTTAAGAATTGGGAATATAATCGATTTACGCCAAATTGATGGGATAATGCTACATTCAAATATCAATTGAAAAAGTTCAAACTTCAACACCACAATGACTGCTGGGAATTTCAATACATCATACGGAATACGGTCAAATCCCTGAGCTGACCCGCTTTTAGCTTTCATAATAATGCTGGAGATTTCTTCAATTGAAATATTTCGGTTCATTAATGCATTCGGGGTATATAACGGTACTCATTTCTAAGCTCTATCATTTCTTTATGGTTTAAGCACTGCCTGTAATGTATATCATCAAAATTACCAGTATCTGTACCGTTATATAATTTCTCAAAGTCCGATTTCCATCTATTCAAAACTTCATGCTCATTTCTGATAGGAGTTCCATTTTCATCAATAATTTCTATCGGTATAGAGGAGTCCTTTCGAGGCCCTAAAGTTTTAATCTTTTGCCAGAAGTCATTCGGGTTAGAAGTCGATATTTCTTCAATCTCGATCCCCTTTGCATACCTATACGCTCGTTCACATTGTCTCAGGAGCTTATCAAAATCATTACGTGCACCGAGATATTCGTTATGCAATTTCTGTCATGTATATCTGATTTCAATATTGTTTTCTTTTCCGCTTACAATTTTACATTATTGATTTGTCATGGTAATTCCTTGTGTTCACACCTAGCTTCTAATTTAAGAACAGTCAAGCTGAGATAACTCTTGATTATTAAATCAATTAAGTTGATAAGAGTTATCTTTTACATGTGCCATATCAATTGTTCATAAAGTGTGATAGTGAAGTTTTAGGATTTTTTTTCTCTCTACAAAAATGGAACTATAGAAATTAATAAATTAAGAGCTAAATCTTTTTTAATCAGTTTTTTTTATCATTTTGTTTATAAAATTTTTACAATAATTATATCTTGCAGGTTTTGTTTTTTTTTGTGATTTTTTTATTGAATTAATTCAGATACTATGTTGGTGGAAAGTTTTGTGTGACAATTGTTTACAAGCATTGACTAGTCACATTATTTCTTCATTGAATAATTTAAACATTTTATAAATTCAACAATCATGCAGTCTTATTTCGAAACTGTTTTTTTTTTGCAAATACATTCATTTGTGTTTATTTCACTACAAGTTTATAAATGTTAACAACTCATGTTGTTTATTGTTTTGAAGTGTGCTACAAGTATGTGCTAGTGTTCATATAATTAAATGTGAATCATTTAAAAAAATCTCTTAATACTTTAAGAACAAATCGAAATTAATTTATAAAGTGAATCATTTTTAAAAAAAAAAATCTGACCAATCAAAATATTTGAAACTTTCTTGGCAATTGTTAGTATTCAAACCTGACACCTCATACCAAAATTGACCGTTGTCATGAGAAATCTTCACTTAACGTCAAACGACGGGTTTACTTTTAAAAAGATATTCAGTATACTAGTTATTGAAATATTTTAAATAAAAACTACGGAAATCCTATTTTAGATAAAAACTATGGAAATCCTATTTTAGATAAAAACTACGGAAATCCTATTTTAGATAAAAACTATGGAAATCCTATTTTAGATAAAAACTATGGAAATCCTATTATAGATAAAGACTACGGAAATCCTATTTTAGATAAAAACTATGGAAATACTATTTTAGATAAAAACTACGGAAATCCTATTTTAAATAAAAACTATGGAAATCCTATAAAAACTATGGCAATCCTATTTTAGATAAAATCTAAGGATCCTATTTAAGATAAAAACTACTGAAATCCTACTTTAGATAAAAACTATGGAAATCCTATTTTAGATAAAAACTACGGAAATCCTATTGTCTTAACTTACTCACATTTACATGTATATTCAACACTTTGATGTAAATTATTTTTTTTTATTTTTAACGTCTAAGACAATGTAAATGTCTTTTGACATCGTTTTAAAAATTGGGTTAAGGGTCGTATTCTCGTGCCAGCGGTCATTTTATAATTACAATGTTTCATTTTTTTTTATTCAAATCTTTCAAATATATCTGCATGATTCTTTCATGAAAACTGTGCTTGTTACTATTTGGGTTGATCAGACTGTGGGTATAGTTTAGTAAGTGTACTCTATATCTAGAAACCTGTATTTCCAGTCACTTTTGTTTTCTGTGCTTTCTAGTCCTCTGTGCAATTTCTTCACTGTTTTTCTTGTTTTGTGAAAAAAAGTTTCTTATTGTTTTTTTCGAGAATATTTACTTGAAGTTCTGTAGAAATTTATCCCCAGGAGTTAAATGATTTGTTAAATGTAATTAAAGAGTTGTTTTGAATTGAAATTTTACTATTTCCAGAGCTGTTAGTGTAAAGAATATAACAAATTTAAAAGAAAAGAATATGTTTTGTCTAAACGTAGACTCCTGTAGTTCATAGAATACAGGACAATTGTAAAATTATATTAATTTATTATGAGTTAAGTCATGTTGAATGTTGCTATCTAGCCATTCTAATTTCTTTATTTTATGAAGCCAAGCTTGGTATCGCATCATTGATGGATGTTCTGGTCTGACCTACTACATAAATTTTATAGTGATATATTAGAAATTGAAACTCTTTGGGCACAAATCACAATAACGGTTCTCCCGAATGACAATAACTATTTGCCCGTGCTACCAGTGTAGTGCTTGGCCGGTTTCTGTATTGCCATAATTTATTATCATAAGGCCATACAACATGTACTTTGCCATACTCCAATATAAAACTGTTGTATTGAATGTTATGTCTCTTGAACAACTAAATGACAGTTTCAAATTCAAGGCACGTCAGTCATTCAAAGCCATTTTAGTTCAGTGTATTATTTTTCCTGCTATAGGTAGAAACTTCAAGTGCATCAAATTATTATCTCATTTCTTAGTCACGATTTTTTTCATTTATAAGTCACGATTTTCACTTCTTCACGATAATCTCCCTCTCTTCATGTACACGACCAAAAGTTAAACGATACAGTCACGTAATTATGTTGTCTATTGAAATTTGATTGTTCTGATTTTCTTAATAAAACAGAAAATTTGTATACATGTTTGTGTTATATTTAATTTTTACCCCCAACAATTTTAGTGTTTGTATTTTTGGCCAAATGATTACTGACTGTTATCAAACTGTATCACAGGTTTCAAGTCTAGTTATGGTCAGTGGTTCTACATTAGTACTAGAAGTAATGTATTCTCCTTGAAGGGTTGCCTTTAATGGTTGAGGCATCAGAATTGCAGCCACCGTTTATCCCTGTGTGATAATAAGAGGCGACTAAATGGGTTTGAATAGCTGGAGTCTATGCATCTCTTAGCTCCAGCAGGTGAGGAGGTTTTTACCCCTGGTGTTGCTTTGTATTTAACACCCAGAGTTAGCCAAAATCATCTTTCCTGTTTCGGCGCCATATGACCTAAATTGTGTAGGTGCACCATAAAACCAAACTAAACAAAGAAGTAATATATTGAGGTTTTTCAGCAGTTTGAGGGTTGACACAAAACTGTTTCAAATCCTTCTATATTTCATATAAGTTACTGCAGTTTTTCAATCAACCCTGAAGTCTTGTCAAGCTGGAATGGTGACACATGACCTTAATTGTGGTGGTAGTTCCTCATTACTGTGCGTTGGAATCATGAGAGCTTCCTTCGCACGTTAAGCTGGAAAGTCCTTTGAGTTTAAAACAAACAAACACTGTGTCGGTATTTTACATTGTACTAAAAATCCAGTCAATTTGTTTTAGAGAAATCGGAGGTCTAGCAGTCATTTGAACTTAATATATGAAAGGTGGAGCCTAGACTGGAACATGTTTTTCAATATACAATGTATAACACCCGAGTACTGGTAAGTCCTGAAAAAAACTGGCAAATGATTAAGTTATTTTGTTAAAGTTGCATGCCTCCAGATGAGCCAAAATATTTCAAGCAAATTAAACATGAGAAAAATGTACTAAGATTTTAAGAAAAGTAAAAAAATACGATTCAAGTAATAATTTACATGTTATGTGTGTTTAAGGACTGATTTGCAGAATTTATCACCATATCTTTAATGCATTGCTAACATAGCTAGGGCTAATTTTGCTTATTTTTGACCTCTTTTTGGTAATTTATGTGGATTGCAAGTGCTGTTTGCAATGTGTCAATTATTTTCTTTGTTCATTTCTCAATATTTTACTTTTAAATACTTTTTTAAAAATTTTCATGAAAATTAGCATGAATCTGGAGGCATGCTGCTTTAAAACTTAACTACATAAACTAACAATGAACAAACAATTCCTCTTCTTAAAGAATTTAAAGACTTTCGTCTGCAGTTTTCATACAGTATGCAGTAATTCAAACCGGAAGTCAACTGTTGAATCAATTAAACATGTCTGAATATATAATATCTTGTCTATGCCTAGGTCAGGGGTCAAACCAAAGTCACATTTAAGATCAGAAAAGTAAATGTATGGTACTTTACCCAACTTGTTTCAATTTTGAACCTTGGAAGCTGAGTGGTTGGAGTATATGTAATATGTATAAATGTCAATTGAAATAATATAGATTTGATAGCTTTATATTATCATATTTTTGTTTTATACAGTGACAGAATATAAAAAAAAACCGAAAAGGGACATTATTCAATTAACTCTCATAACAACTGTTAGGAAAAAGTGAGTTATTTCCCTTTCATTTCATTCAAAACCAAAAGAGGAAGTAAAAATAGCAAATGTCCACCTATCTTGTCAAAAAAAAAAAACCCAAGTTTTTCTTGATTATTTCTACGGAATATTAATAAATCCAACATTTAAAGTAAGTTTAAAACTTTATTTTCTGTACACAAAGTCACATCTACTTGTATATAGACTGAATTATGTAAGAAAGTACATGTAGATCAGGCAATATATTCAGAACGTTTTTTTAATTTTTGTGTCTCCCTTTTATCAATCTCAAAAAAGAAAATATTTGTTTAAATGAATTATGTATTTTAATTAAATAGAAATATACATAATTATGTTTAACATTTTAATGTATTTTTGACAATATATTGTGGTGTTATATAAATCTAAATATCATGTCAAATGAAAATAAATAATTTCTCTTGATTTTTTTAAAGAAATTTAAATGTAAAAATCAATAAGTTTTAAACTTTATTTGAAATACAAATTTGTTCATCAAAATCGGATGAAATATGTAAGAAAGTGTTACATGTGTAAGTGAATTAGTGTCTCTCTTTATATCAAAATTCTGGAAACAAATATTCAAATTTACGTAATAGACAAGAAAAAATACAACAAGCAAACAGTGAAAAAAATGTATTATTTTGATCAATTGATATATACACCAACTTATTTATCTTATTATTTATCTTTTGTTTCATAATGTCCAGATTGGCTCTCCTGTCCTGTTCTGTTCTGTCCTAGGAGATTAAGGACAAATAAGTAACAATTAAGTAGACTAAATGACGAAAAAGTGTTGTTATCTCTAGCAGTGAGTGATACTTCATTCTGAAAATAATATAATTATGTTTTTTCTTAAAAAAATGATGAGTTGAAAAATTCTATATATTTTAAATAGACAAAATTATTCATATAATCAAGCCTTATATTATTGTCGATGTAGCTAGCCTTATGATCATAAGAGAAACCGGTTGGCAAATAATTAAATAAGTTAACTCATGGACTGTGTTTTTTGTTTGTTTTAATTATATGTGACTTTTTTCCGGCACTTGTTTTCATTTTTTGTATATTTATATATCCAAGATATATTTATTATACAACTCAATACATCAATGGTCATGTGGCAACTGCATCGATGCATTCATTTGTCACTTGACCATCGGCGATTCAGTTACGTGTGACAGGTTAGTATGATTGTATTGTTAGTAAATAGTTAACATGAAATGTAAGGTGGATAATGGGATTTGAGATCATGGAGTAAGATGGATTGTAATTAATGAAATGAACTGTATATAAAAACGACACATCATATATTTAATATAAAAGGCTCCCGAAGAGTAATAACAAATTACAAAGATACTTACTATATAATAAGAACTCTATGACCTAATCATGTTTTTTCTGTTTGTTTCTGTTTCATTTTTTTTTTTTTTTTTTTTTTTTTTTGGTTGTTGTTTTTTAATTCATTGACAGAATATGAGAAAGATCAAAAAGGGACATTATTCTATTAACTCTCATAACAAACTGTTAGGAAAATGATGTGATTTTTCTCCCTTTCATTTCTTTTCAAAACCAAAAGAGGAAGTAAAAGTAACAAATTTCAACCTATCTTGTCAAACAGAAAAAACCTGGCCATTTTTTATTTTATTTTTTCTACAGAATATTGATAAATCCAACATTAAAAGTAAGTTTAAAACGTTATTTTATATACACATCAGGTTAATTTCACATCTACTTCACAATGTTTAAATGAAATATGTATTTTAATTAAACATAAATAGATGTAATTATGTTTTACATTATAATGTATTTTTTACAACATATTCAGGTGATTAATTTTAAATTTCCACATATCTGGTCAAATAAAAATAAATATTTTCTCATGATTATTTTATGAAATTTAAATCCAAAATTCAAAGTATGTTTAAAACTTTATTTTACATACAAAATTTCTCATCAATATTGAATGAATTATGTAAGAAAGTGTAACATGAATATTTGAAAGAGTGTTAAATTTTAGTGTCTCTCTTTTATCGAAATTCTGAGAACAAATATTCCAATCTACATAATAGAGAAGAAAAATTACCACAACCAAATAGAGAAAAAACTCCAATATTCTTGATCAATTGATATATACCCGAAATTATTTATCTTATGTTTCATAATGTCCAGATTAGCTCTCCTGTTCTGCTGGTCTGTTCTGGGACATTAAGGACAAATAAGTAACAAATAGAAGTACATTATGTGATAAAATTTATTTAACTGCTGAATGAAATAATTTTCTCTTACAGAATGTTTCAAGAACCTGACTACAGAGAAAACTTATCATTGATGTTATCAGAGGTTTTACATGACATTGGTGTCAATGAAAGAATTGTGATGACAAGGAGAAGAGAATACATGCTGACAGAGATTATAAGTAATATCTTTAACAGGTTAACTGATCTAAATATGACTAACTATTATCTAGGGAGTCAAAGTGAAGCTACAACTACTATAGGACTTCATTCAGACATTGATTTACTAGGCTGTATGCATGATTACAATATAATACAAGACTGGTCAGAGTGGGAACATGGCAAGATAAACTACCTCATGATACAGGATGAGAACACTACCCCTGGGTATTGTTACTTACAACTACTCAGACATGATGAACCTCTTCCTGTAACTGTCATTCCTGATGCTTACTGTATTTCTGATAGAAGAGGAAGAATATTGTATAAAAATATAGTGATAAATGATTTACTTGAGGGTGATGAGCAGCATCATGGACCATCTATGGCTGAACAAGGACAGCCTGGATTTTATGATAGAGACAAAGTGATAGCTTTTCCATTAAAATCATGGCCTCAATCAGCATCAGGTTGGTTTGATAGAACAGGTATCGGCAGATGGCCAACACAAGAGATGAGAAGATATGCAGCCAGTACTGGGTGTTTTGTTGTTCCAACTGGAAGTAGGGTCAGTGCATATCCTGAATTGGAATGGAGAATATCTACATCATTGACAGAAAGATTTCTCATGTGCAATCTAAATATAACACAAATAAGGTGCTATGTACTATTGAAAATGATTCTTAAGTCCTTCCTTAATCCTCAAAATGGAATCAACATATCAAGTTTCATGTGTAAAACAGTTCTATTTCATTGTATAGAAAACACAGAGTCAGGAATATGGAAAGATAATAATTTATTTACATGTTTAACATACTGCTTATTGGAATTACACAGTTGTGTACAGAATGACTGTTGTTCACATTTCATTATAACAGAAAATAATTTGATGGCAGGGCAATTTACAGCTGAGACAAAATATGAACTTTTAAAAAATATTTGTGATTTTATACAGAATGATAGTCAATGGTTACTAAAGTTTTTGTATTGAAGATTTTGGGTCATAGACTAAAAGTTAAAACCAAACAGGGACCATGGATTTTTACTATTTTTCCTTCTTTCCCTTTTGAAAATATAAAAATGTTGTGGTATTGGAAATTTTAAACATTGCAAACATATAAGTAAAAGGCAAAAAGAATGTTTTAGACCATTTTCCAATAGAAAACATTGCATAAAACAAACTTTTGGGAAATTTAATGATTTCGTGACAATAGATAGAAACATGCGCATTAAACTTCTAGCACCTTTACTTTTTACCACATATGGATCTATTCTAGCATCATTCAGCATTGCTGGAAACAACGGAGTTTCATCTCACGCATTGGTCTGGTTATCAGCTGGTTTAAACTCAGATATCTCATCTAGCAGACTTAAATTGGCTTCAGTGTTTTACAGTACAGGAGATATGGAGAAAGCTGAGCTAATTCTGAGGCACACAGAACAACAATATTATTCCAACCCTGTTTTACCTATCTGTAGTTGCTGCCAACAGCCCCCAGAAGCAGTAACAGCAGAATTCGCGAGGGTATGTACTGAAGAAAGTGAAGACTGTATCAAACATATAACAGCTTTTTGTGTCAGATTTATACAGAAAGAGATCAACTGTGTTCCTCATGAACTACAATATGAAATGTTTAGATCAACACATGATGACATGATACACAGACATGCAGATAAAGACTGTTGGATGGACTGGGCAGTGGTTGATTCTCTATCCCTCCTGTACTTCCTACAATACAAGATCTACCGTCATCTACAAAGACATCAAGATCAACAACAAGCACTTTGTAATCTTATAAGAAACATAGAAACATATAAAAACTTCAAACATAGAGAAACAGCCTTCAATATTTTAGGACAATGCATGGAACAAGAAAACAGACCTCAACAAGCATTAAACTGCTACCTGCTTTCTCTTCAACAAAGGGCAAGAAACAATGCAGCAATCTACCATATATGTAAGCTCCTTTCAAGCTTTATGAATAGCCAATAAATAGTGATCAAAAAGAAAAGTATGAAGAAATTTAGTTTTCAATAATATCATTAATCAAACAGATTAACATGACAAAATATATGCCTGCCATTACATTTTTTATCACATCTTATTTTGAAATACCATTCAACATGTTAAATTGAAAGAATGATTTTAACTTCAATGACTTCGAATATCTAACTTTACAGTTGAGAGTTAAGAGCCTCAAGTGAAGAAGACCATATTGCTTATGCAGATATATATTAAAACCTTTGTTTATAATATGAAGTTTTTTTTCAAGCCTTTGTATACAGTAGGCAAAACAGTTTAGCTGTCACCTTTATATATATATTGCTATTCTATTAATTATTAAAGTCTATATATGTTTTTTGGTTTTTGGTTTTACGTCACATCGACACAGTATAGGTCATATCGCGACGTTCCAGCTTTACTGGTGGAGGAAGACCTCAGGTACCCTTCCGTGCATTATTTCAGGCATGAACGGGCACCTGGGTAGAACCACCGACGTTTCATAAGCTAGCTGGATAGCTTCCACACATGAAAGAATCCAAAGTCCCTGTTTTCGAACCCACAGCGGTGAAGGGCAAGTGATTTGAAGTCAACGACCTTAACCTCTCGGCCACGAACGCCCATTGTTTTATATATGTACCTTGTATATACATATATATATATATATACCTTGTATATATAGTCTTGTTCTTATCTAATATATGTACCCTGTATATTACATGACCCTGTTTAATACACTTGTTGCTACTGAAAGTCAGTTGCCACAAATGTCTTAGGTCAATAAGAAAAATGTAATGGTTAAACACGAAACAAGAGGGCAATAATGGCGTTATATTGCTCAGCTGATTTCTAGAAAAGGTCACAAATTTTTAAAATGCTAAAGTAGGTCATTAGGTTGGATCAATTTGGATCAAAGGGCATGGTTTATTTTATTTTCGTATATTTCAACTAGGCAATGTTACAATTTGTTAAATATTTTATCTCTTAATCATATGGTTTCAGACAACCATTGATAATACAAGTCAATGTAAGCAAAATATCTAAGCTCTCAGCAATTTAGATTCCAAGGATTTTGACCATGGATGACCCATGTTCAAAGCTGAGCAAAAAATCATCAAAATAAACTTTCTGACAAATTTTGGGGATATTTGTGATGATAATATTACGTCTACAATGTAAACAATGTTTTTCCATGATTTAGGTTGTGTGAACTAGTTTTTGACCACAGATGACTCATACTAAAACATAACCTAGAAGGTTAGAAACCATCTAAACAACCTTTGTCACTATTTGGACATAAACAGTTTCCTATACAGTGTTAGCAAAGTTATTCTATATTTGGGTTGTGTGACCTAGTTTTTGGCTCCGGATTGAAACATGACCGAGAAATCATCTAAACAACCTGTCTGGCTAATTTCCAGTATATTTATACATAAACAGTATCAGCTACAATGTAAGCATTCGTGTTTAAATATTGAAATATTTTGATAGTTACCTGGATCGTATCACGTTTGGGGGAGGCAGAAACTGACCCCAAAGCGTCTGTGGATATTTTGTGTGTAGCATCATTTAATGAAATAGAGAAAAACAGAACCCCTAAAGAACGCCCAACACGGCAAAATTGTTAAGTGTTGCAGGCGCTCGGTTTGACTGAACCTGTTCGTGGACGGTACTAGAAAGTGCAAGTCACGCCCACGCCCCTAGCATCGGGTTTAGCAGAATTCAACATTTAAACACAAAAATGTTGAAATTTTGAATTTAGAAACATCCACAGATGTGTTCATACGGCAGTTATCATGGAACCTTCAATGTGACACAGTGGTGTCATTCTATGAAAAGCGGCGTATGGTCCCCAAGTAAAAGAATGCATGTGCCCTAAACGAGAAAACAATTGGCGGAATTAAATAAAATGGTTATGAATCACAGACAAGACGTCAAAAGACAAATTTAAAAAGCAGGCAACAAATCCTAAGGGTGATTATACAGTATTCAAGTAAGAATACTGGAACCACCCAAATTGAAAAAAAGGCCAAATAAAAGAAACTAAAAGTACCATACAAAATGTTTAGGAAAAGAAGGTACGGTTTCTTGTGCACTGCACATCTACCCAATGAGATCTATCCGCCTACAAAGTTTCATGTTGATACCTCTTGTTGTTTCAAAGTTTTGTCCCAGACAAGAATAGCGGACGTGCTCAAATTTTGGTACTTCGGTGGTTGATCTTTCTTTTCTCTCTCTATCGATCTTTTAGCCACGTAAGAGAAAAAGTAGCCACATAAGATCTTACTGAATGAATAGCAGTAAAGGAAATTTACTGTTACCTATTGGTTCCATAGCCACGTAAGTATCTATATGTTTGTACGAACAGATAGACGGGTGGTCAAAGCCGCGACTATATGCTCATCCTTCGGGGATCATAATAATAAAAGTGCAGACCATGGCATTAATGGCAATGATGTGAAGGCTGATCTTGGTCTGCACTGGTAGCAACTTAAGATTTCACATTCATTTTATATTATTTATAAAAACCGTTCATTGTGTATTGGGGAAACTATTAAAATAATACTGGCTGAAAAGTGAACAGTGCAGACAATTGCATTGATTGTATTGGTGTGGTGGCTGAGCTAGGTCTGCAATGGTCGCAAAGATAGTCTCACATTCAGTATCTTCTCTACAGCAACACCTCTCAATTTATCTTCTTTTCAGCAAAACCTCTCAACTTATCTTCTCCACAGCAGCACCTCTAAACTTATCTTCTCTATAGCAAAACTTTTCAACTTATCTTCTCTACAGCAAAACTTCTCAACTTATCTTCTCTACATCAACACCTCTAGACTTATCTTCTCTACAGCAATACCTCTCAACGCCTCTTCTCTATAGCAACACCTCTCAACTCATCTTCTCTACAGCAACACCTCTCATCTTCTCTTCTCCACAGCAACACCTCTCAACTTATCTTCTCTACAACAACACCACTCAACTTCTCTTCTCTACAGCAACTCCTCTTAATTTATCTTCTCTACATCAACACCTCTCAACTTATTTCCTCTGCAGCAACACCTCTCAACTTATTTTCTAAACAAAAACCCCTCTCAACTTCTCTTCTCTACAGCAACACCTCTCAACTTCTCTTCTCAACAGCAACGCCTCTCAACTTCTCTTCTATATAGCAAAACTTCTGAACTTATATTCTCCACAACAACTCCAAGCCGCGACTATATGCTCATCCTTCGGGGAGCATAATAATAAAATGTGCAGACTATGGCATTAATGGCAATGATGTGAAAGCTGATCTTGGTCTGCACTGGTAGCAACTTAAGATTTCACATTCATTTTATATCATTTATAAAAACCGTTCATTGTCTATTGGGGAAGCTATTAAAATAATACTGGCTGAAAAGTGAACAGTGCAGACAATTGCATTGATTGTATTGGTGTAGTGGCTGAGCTAGGTCTGCAATGGTCGCAAAGATAGTTTCACATTCAGTATCATCTCTACAGCAACACCTCTCAATTTATCTTCTTTTCAGCAAAACCTCTCAACTTATCTTCTCCACAGCAGCACCTCTAAACTTATCTTCTCTACAGCAAAACTTCTCAACTTATCCTCTCTACAGCAACACCTCTAAACTTATCTTCTCTACAGCAACACCCCTCAACTTCTCTTCTCTATAGCAACACCTCTCAACTTATATTCTCTACAGTAACACCACGCACTTTCTCTTCTCTATAGCAACTCCTCTCAATTTATCTTCTATAGAGCAACACCTCTCAATGTATTTTCTCTGCAGCAATACCTCTCAACTTATTTTCTCAACAGTTACACCTGTCAACTTATCTTCTCTACAGCAACACCTCTCAACTTCTCTTCCCTATAGCAACACCTCTCAACTTATCTTTTCTACAGCAACACCTCTCCTCTTCTCTTCTCCACAGCAACACCTCTCAACTTATTTTCTCTACAGCAGCATCTCTAAACTTATCTTCTC